AAAGTAATAAAAAAACATATTTTTAATTATTGTTGAAAATATTCAATAATTATTGATACTGAACTATATGAAACCTGATATCATGATCTTTTTTTTTTTTTTTTTTTTTTTTTTGCAATTTTGCCTAGCCCTAGTGGACATACAGAGGATTGGAAATGGTGAACAATCGCAGGACAACAGTGCTAAATAATTAATCATAAATTCAAACACAACACTGGACATAAGAGCTATTTCAAAAACTTACTCAACTTAAAATTAAGGCAACAAACTTCAGGACATTTTTTAGTTTATTCAACTTAAATCAAGTGAAGTGCAGTAATTGGGTTCAAAGCTGAGTCAACTCAAAAATGTCCTGAAGTTTGTTGCCTTCAAATTTTAAGTTAAGTCAACTTTGTTTTGGTTTTATTTTTAGTGTATGCATAGCTAACATATACTATAAGTTACTTAACTATACACATAAGATGTTGTGCAGGATATTGCACAAGAGAGATATTAAAAGTTGAAGCAAGCAGCGCAACATGATTGTAGTACATTTATAGTAAACATTGTTTTCCTTTAGTTAACTTATTAGTTTTTATTCCTTAAATTAGTTAAAATATTAGTCTTAATTCCTTAAATGTAAAAGTTTTTTTTTTAAGTTGAAGCAAGCATCACAACATGTATATTTATAGTAAACATTGTTTTCCTTAACTTTAGTTTTTACAAATTTAAGTAGAATGAACATAAAATAATTAAGTTGCCCCCCCCCCCCTCCAAAAACTCAAGAATTGTGTTGCATTAGCTCATTTTAAGTACATCATTTGAACAAACAGCAAACATCTGTTTTAGTGGTTGTCAGCTGCTATTGAAGGGTTAGTTCACCCTAAAAAAATAATTACCTCAAAAGAACACAAAAGAACATATTTTGAAGAATGCTGGTTGCTAGAACTTTCATGGAAGGAAAACAAATGACTATGGAAATCAATGTGTCCCAGAATCTAGCATTTGTTAAAGTGTCTTCTTTCATGTTCAACGGAAGAAAGAAACAGGTTTTGAACAAGTGAAGTGTGAGTAAATATTATATTTACATTTTGCTGGAAAAGATAACCTACAGTATATATTAAGAGATAAATATAAGATCGTTGAGGGAGTTTGGATACCTTTCAAATTATTCCTAAAATGTGGTGGAGTTGGAAATGAGTTCATTGAAGAATAATAAGAAAAGTCATAAATATTAATGTGAAATACTTCACATAAGATGTTGTTGTTGTTGTTGTTTTTTACTTCTGTACATTCTGAGTGTAAAGTTAAAATGCAATAAAGATGGCACAATATATTATTTTCACTGTGCAATCTGCATGATTTCTTGATTTAATCTTCAGTCTACTTTCTATCAGTCTATCTTCAGTCTAATTGTGTCATTGCACACCTGTGTACAGTGCAATGCTTTTATAACCAGGCTATTACCCAACTTACACTGTAAAAAAAAAATAATTCTTGCTGCCTTAAATTTATTAGTTGAATCAAATACAGTTTTCCAGTCATCGCAACTTAAATCAATCAAACTGACTAAAAATATTAAGTTAAACTCGTATAACTTAGAAAACTTTGAAAAAAATATATAAAAAAGCAAAATTATATATATATATATATATATATATATATATATATATATATATATATATATATATATATATATATATATATATATATATATATATATTTCGTGTCTTAACCTTTTGTCATTACATTTTTTATAATGCATACTTTACAATGACAAGCTGACAATGAGAAAGGCAAGGATGGTTCATGTGGATGAGTCGGCGATGTAAACATGACTGAAACACAGTGAGTAATAAGATGCTTTTGGGTTGACCAGACCACAAATAGACAAGGGAGACACATTCCTGTTCAAACCTGCCGTTTAAACATCCAGTTGACCACTTTTCCAGTGATTAGGGTCTGTGTGTGGGCGTATATAAATGATACAGGCTTTCTCTGATTTCTCAATCTAATAGAGCAAAATGATTTTGCACAATTTTTATACAGTAAAAAAAGTAACTTTAATAATTATGCATTTGTTGTCAACAATTTACCAGTTAATGCTAAATCAATTAATTAAATTTTATGAATACTCTAAACAATAAGATTTATTTTTAGTTCCAATGAGTTCCTAATGTATCATTTATAAATTTATTAATTTTCTTTTCGGCATTAATCCCGTTATTAGTCCCGTTATTAATCGGGGGTCACCACAGCTGAATGAACCGCCAACTTATCCACCATATGTTTTACGCAGTGGATGCCTTTTTAACTGCAACCCATCACTGGGAAAATACTTTAAACATGAGTAAAAAAGTGCAGTCAGTACTTCTACCATAGTAGTTTTAAAAATAAGTATCTGCACTTATGCTTGAGTGAAGAAAATGTGTACTTTGCAACCTCTGCACAATTTACACACAAATGCAAACAAGGGTAACAGAAAACAAGTAAAAACTTTCATCTTTACTCTTATAGTACCAAACCTACACTGAACAATGTGGGTTTATGGTACATCAAGACTGGCAATAATGTTTTACTTTTTGGCTTTTAAAACAAACCTACAGTTTCAGATGCCTGTAAATGTTTAAATCCTGGCTAGCATAGTTCAACAAAAGATCCCATAATGTTTAAGAATTAGGTCAGTAGGGGGATGATAGGTGGTCTTGTGGATGTTTAAATACATTCAAGCACATGAGCCACTATAATGAAAGAAATATGGTCAAACGCGTTTTTGGCTACCAATGAGAGTGGTCAAAACTGAGGCTCCACATACTACCCATGTATTTAAAATTGCTTACACGTGATTGGGTAAAAGCACTTAAAGTGTCAAAAATAGTGCAGAAAAATCTGCTAAAGCATTCAAATAATGTAAATGTGAATTGCTGATTGTTACTTTTCCTGTTTTATCTTTTATGTGGGCAAAAATATTTAAATTTGATTTCAAACTACCCTGTTTTTTCTTCTCTACCACTCAGATATTTCTGAAAGAACCAGCACCAAAGCCTACTGTTGCTATAGTAACAAACACAACTTGCACACTCATCACTGCATGCTCTCATTTTACTGCTGTAGTGTTATGGCTATTTCAGCATGCAGCTTGGTTTGTAGATTAAATACAACAGAATAAAGTTAGAGTAATCTGTTTAAACTGAACTCTCCTCATGCATTTTTAATGGTTTTTATCATGCGAGTCCTCTGCAACAAATGCATGAGATTGAATTATCTTTGTATTTAAAAAAATATTACTGCAGATGTGTGTGTGGTCTGTGACTCATTTCAAGGGCAGCCAAAACTAGAAATTATAATCAAACCAAGATCTAGAAATATCTTCATATCAATAAAGTGCACTGGTAATTTCAGCAACCTTTAAATGTTGTGGCCACAATGCAGTAAGTTGACATGTTCCTCAAATCTTTTGTTATTAATAATCTATATTTAAATAGCTGTATATAATATAATTAAATAGCTGTTTATAATATTTAATTTAATTTTAGAAATAAAGTTGATTCCAAAAATCACTTCAATTTCTCTGAAACAATAAATGCTAGCATCAGAATTCTGTCTACATTTCTTGTTGACATTTTTTTTTTCAAATTCCACCAAGGCTGTTTCCATGACCTTTTTAAGATGTTGACAGTCATATATGTGTTCCACGTTGCTAAAAACACTAAAGACACAAATATTTAGCTAACAAGTGAAAAATGGTTGTTTTTGCTTTCTTCCAGGTTCGTTGATTGACTGTCCTGTCTCTACAGATTTGGTAAGTGTGTGATCAATGTTCTTTGTTTCTGTTTATTGAGACGGCAAAGTTAGTTAGTATCATAAGCAGTAATCTTTTAGTTTTTAAAGACATAACTTAGTCAAAATGATTTAGTTACTAAGTTCACAGTATCACTACAATATTATGGACTGAAAATCCTCCACTTCCACACAGCTCGCAGATCCGCTGCATTCCCAATCACTGTCTACCTTCCCTGCATCTGTGTTTTGCCGCTGCAGTGCATGTAATGAAACTCCCCTTTTCATACAAACCCTTCCCTCTTTCACCACTAGACACTCACACCTAAACAAAGCTGGACTCACCCACTTTCCTGACTTTTTTCAAACTAGAGGTGTGAAGATTCCCTGCTAAGACAGGGGGGTTCATAGCATTTTAAAACTTAAAAAAAAAATGAATTAGGATACACATGAGAAAAAATAAATAAATAATCATCCTGAGCTCTGTAAATTCATCTAATAAACTGCATTCACTTTTGGAAAGAGGGTTGCTTGAGATCACAAAGCTAAGGATCGAAATCCTTACCACTGCCCACATTTTCATCCCTGGTTGCCAGCAGACATTCCCATTTTCTTCATATTTTCTGAATAACTCTCAAATTAACATAATATATCATACTAATCACAGTGAGTGATGATGAATGTTGTTTTCTTGTCTGAGAATCAACCATTTTCAGAGAGAAAATATAAAACTCAATATCTCACTCCAAGGAATTCATCATCCTTCAAAGTTGCAATGTCTCATAAAATACTGATAATTTTCCTAGTTCTTCATGTCAAAGCTCTGAGTTACGACTTCAATCAAGAGCAAAGTGGGCATGAACTGTGCTGTGTGCTCTGCTCTGTGAGGCAACTTTTCAGATGTAAAAATCTTTGAAAAATACTAATATATGTGCCAGTTGCCTTCTCTTTTCATTTCAGCCTTAGACTCATGCTCATTTTCTAGTATAGGAAATTACTTGTAGTACAGTGGTAAACAACCTAAACATGCTGCTAAACAAGGAAAGTCTTGTATTCCATTGCACTGAGCACACAAAATGCCAGTAGGGTGTGTGTTTTTTGCATAGAAAGACATTAATTGCCATTAGTTATGAAACATTCAACCTTTCGAAAAACACCTGAGACAAACATGCAATTTTATCTTATAAATGAGAATTTCCAGAAATCAAATCAGCAGAATGAGCATAGAGACGTGCACTGACCTGTTCATGGTACTCAATGCCCATGCTGAGTGTGTTAATAAGAATGGCGATCATTATTCCTTGTCCAAAATACTTGCTGTCCACAATCTTGCGGAAAGTGCCACAGACCAGTCTCCAGAAATCGATCACCTTTGTTGCCCGAGCTCCTAATGCAAACTTTTTCTTCTTCTTGGGTCCTCTGCTGTCCCGATAATGGGCAACTTGTGTCTCATAGACACCCTCACTGTCAGAGTCTGCCGTCTCATTACCATCTATTCCCTCAGAGTCATTGGCCATTGATTTGGCACAATATGGACAGGTTTCAGGGTCATAGGTCAGAGCTGTGTCTATGTTTGTGCTACTGCAGTTCATGAGGGCATCCTTTGAGATGACCTTGCCTGAAAGTTATAAGAAACAAAAAAATCAGAAAAATTTTGCATGGTCAAATGTCTTTTATATGAAATAATTCAGGGTTGCATTATTTTCACTCTTGTATTGTTCTTTTGAATCTTGGAAAAAATGTTTTTGGAAATTTCATTTTGAATTTCTACAACTGCAAATGGAACAATTAAAAAAATGAATAAATAACACTTGTTTAATTTAAACAACAACAACCACCTATAATCAAGGCTGCATCCGAAATTGCCTACTATCAAAGACTATAGATCACACAAAACAGGTCACTTGTATAGTTTTAAATGGGGAAAATTGTAACGGTCAATATGGCAAATGAGGCCCCGCCTACTAGTACAGGAGCCAATCAGCAATCGATACACACTAACGATTCTCTGAGGTACAAGTTCAACCTAAAAGTATCCTGATTTTATTTCATTCGAACGTTTAGAAACAAAACTTATGAGACGGTTGTTGTTTAAGTCTATTGGTGATTCCAAATGTAATGTAACCGCAAGCTTAACAAACAGTTTTAGAGAATTTGATGTTTCCCCATTCAGACCAATGACTGTAAAAAATATGGACGACGCGACAGCCCTTTTTCCCATTGAACGCCTTGAGGGCAAAACGCCTGCTTGACGGGCACAAACTGTCGCAAAAGACTGCTGAAATTGGAGCCTTGACATGCGCAGAAGGACTGTCTGATGGCGCCAGAGGAGGAGCCGCGAAAATGAGCGGAGTCGAGCTTCCAACCAAACGCTTTATGTAAAATCAACCATGCCCCCCGAACTTCTCAGCATGCGTTTGCTGTCATATCAGCACAAATGGATGTAATAACGTTAACAAATATGAGGGTTTTATATATTCAATCGCGCCAGCTCCGGACTGTAGCGCATAACCTACTAGCGGCGTCGCGGGCTGATTTCGCCTCGCATGCGGCAGCGCCGGCTCGCTCGGCCGCAGCATCTGGCTCGATTGACTCGGGCTTGAATCGGGTAGTGAGTCCAGGCATCCGGAGTAGGTCCAGCAGAGGTAGTCAGTCTGAGCTCTAAGGGATAAGTCTCCGGCAGGCGAGAATCTAGCCGGAACTGTCTTGCTATCTGGGTGGTTAGGCGTGTATCAGCAAACTAATAAAGCCCGAAAAAAGCCCTGAACTTAGCGAATAAACAGTGTTTCACCAGGATCATGTATGTCAGAAACTGTAGTTTACTGCTGAACTCATTTTGTCATGGTAAAAAAAACACAGAAATCGAATAATAACACTTCAGTCTCCTGCCGAAGCTCAGACGCGCTGCTTTGAGAAACTGTCAATTACAGCTGTCAATCACGATGACACGCCCAGCATTAAATTACTGCTAAAAACAAACTGTTTACAAAAATGAAGATCTGCACCTATTTCAGCACAATAACCAGTGCCTTAATCCACCAGAACCATCTTTCGGGACATTTTATTGCAAGTGTAATAATTTTTTTTATTTGGGCTCAAGTCTCCTTCATTAACACGGAGGAGGCGGGCTTTATGACTTGTACTGCAGCCAGCCCCCAGGGGGCGATCTAACGGCCGAGACCTTCACTCAAACGCAGGCTTGCGGCACACTTGATTCAGACAGAATGCCCGAGTATACTGCCCGAGAGGCGTTTCAAAGATGGCCGCCAAATGAAATGACTTGCCTTAAAGGGGCTTTGCTACTACTCAAGTATGTAAAACATTTGAATTTAAATTTAATACACAACCATTGATAAAGTATGTTCTATATCACAGAACATCAGCGCTGTTCCTAGAGATCTACTTTCCTGCAGATTTCAGTTGCAACCCTGACCAAACACACCTGTCTCTAATTATCAAGTGCTACTTCATGTCCTAATTAATTGGTTCAGGTGTCTCTGATCAGAGTTGGAGCTGAATTCTGCATGGAGGTAGCTCTCCAGGAACAGGTTTGTTGACCCCTGTTCTTTATAAGCTGGATTGTGCGCATGTGCACATTGTGCACATTGTGCGCTGGACGTTTTTTTTAAAACTACTCCAGATTAAATGTCTAAATTAGGTTTTATTTTACTTCAATATCTAAACACATGTTAAAAAAACAGGAAGAGTATGACATGTCTTACTAAAAAGTGATTTCTTAAACAGTTTACAATTATATGTGCACATGTATGAATCAAAGGAATTATATTTCCAGCTTTTATAAACCTTGTTTTGCCTTCAGATCATCTAATATAAGTTTTAAATTCACTTTAAGAAAGAGACATTGGCACTTATTAACGAGAGCTGTTACGGTTGTTAGGTGATGAGACCTGTCCTCTGTAGGCTTGATCGTCTCATTTCAAAACACTTAGTTTGGCCTTTGAGAACTTTGAAAGACCTACCTTTGAAGTCTGCATCCTTCGGAGGATGCAGCCTCTGAAATGGCACGCAGCTATAGTATGAATGTGAGTAGCATAAATGGAGTTTTCAACATCCACTATTTGTCATTGTCACATGACCTACCCAGGTCAGTTGCATCGCTTCACTCCCAATAATGAATTCTCTTATGTGGCATTATGGGATAGCCTATTGTAAATTTGATGTGTATTTCAGAATTTCGCAAGAAGTAGTAGGTCATCTGGGTACTTCTCGCACACTGTTTTTTCAATACTTTGAATTCAGACATACTAATCTGCTCGCATATTGTTTTTAGTGTACTATATTATATGAAAGTAAGTGATATCGGATGCAGCCCAATATTGTAGACTTTAATACTGGATTTAAAAATAAAAATAAATTGGTTAAAACTATTATATTTGGTTAAAACTAACTACATTCACTCCTTTGGATTTATACAGTTCTAGCTACCTCTGATTTGTTTTTGAGATCTTCAGTGCAAAAGATGATGTGGGCATCAATGATTCTAAATAAAGTCTTAATTCACACAACATATTTTTTTTATTATTATTCAAAAAAAAGTTGTAAATTATTGTAAGTTGTGAAGGTGTAAATTACAAAATAATGCATATAACATAAAAAAATATAAAAAATGTAGCTGTTTATCACCAAACTTGTAAATTTGCTGCAAATAATGTTTTATACTTCATAAAAAATATTTATATATATTATAATTTTATATTTATAAAATTTATATATATTATTCCTCTATCCTAATAAGTAGTACATAACTCTTACAACTTTTCATTAAAAAATAGTGCATTTACCAGGAGGACCTTGAGTCTCCACCAGGCACTGTGAGGTGTTGATGGGATTTGGTGGTATGTTCAGGCTGGTAAGGACACTAGCAGGATCCAGGATTCTCTGTCTGAGCTGCTCTAAGGCCAGAGATGACTGTAAAGTGGGGTAGTTCTTATGTACTGGAGCTGCAAAGGGCACTGAGTTCCTCTTATACGCATGAAGAACTGTGGGAGACGGTGAAGGGCCACAGCGAAGTGGCTCAAGGTGACCCGAGACCTGATAAACACTATGTACCGATTCGGCACTACTGTGGCCAAAAGACCCACTAAAGGCGTCCTGCTGAGGGACAATAACAGGTAGCATTAGATTGACATTGCCACTTTTGTTGACAATGCCACTCTGCGAAGGATTGTCCACCTCTCGTCCCCCGTCAGATCGGACACTCCCATTGCCCAAATGATAGTGATGGTGGAGGTGGTGGTGGTGATGGTGCATGATGTGACGAATAGATCCCTGACGCTGCTTTTGCCGACGTCTTTTAGTGGGTGGTGCTTCCAGAGGTGGAGAAGCACAGATCCTCAGGCCTGCACGGCGACCCGCAGCCCGGATGAGGTGAGCGATTTGTCTGGTGCCTTTGCGGATGACGTGGACCAGGTATTTGAGCAGCTCATCATAGCAGCTTCCAGGCTCGGAGTAGCTGTTGAGAGTGCTGGCGTTGGACCTAAAGCGAACTCGCTGCTCCTTCATCAGCTGACTCTCTCGTTGCTTGGTCTCGGAGAACTGTGTCGCTATGACAACTAGACAAAGGTTGATCATGAAGAACGAGCCCACCTGAAAAACAGCAAAGGGAGTTGAGCAGATCATGAACGTAGAGAGAGCTTCGCTGCTCATTAACAACGCTGGTACTGGAACAACAAGAAAAGATGGCAGGATAAAAATAGAAAGCAGAAAATCAATGGTTGTTGCATGTTCTAACAGGACAATTTGAAATAACAGATTGGAGGTTTAATCAATGCCATCTCTAAAGAAAGGTATCCCAAAAATGAAAGATCCATTTCATTTACTTTCCATTATGTAATTCCAAACGTGTTTCATTTACTTTCTTCCTATTAACACAAAAGTCTTTTTGAGAACTGTGATTTTGCTTCCAATATTGGCAACCAGGGCTTGCCATTAACTTATTTGATCACCAGCCAATGTGGCTAGTAGTTTACAGACATTACTAGCCACTCGCCATTTTCATAGCCACAATTGTGTTGTTGGGAAAATGTATTTTATTTCCATAAATTTGACTTTGGCATGCTAAAAATGATTTATTTAACTTTTTGTTTATTTCACTTGACTTTTAAGAGTTCAACACTAAAGCCGCCCTTCCACTGCACATGACAAATGACAAGCGACAGACCGAAAGTCATTTATTTCCAATGGAGAGTAGTCCAGGAGTTGCGTAGAGTTCCAATCATCTCCGTATGTGGAAGATTCACATTCAATTTGAGCTGTGGATCTGTTTTAAACTTCTGCGACTAGGCTGTATGTGATACCTTTAATACATTTAGTTGAATTTAAGTTACATTGCATCTACATGCCAACTAATTCTCAATAGATTATAAGTAGACTGTTAGGTTGTGGCTAGGGTTAGGGTTAGTCCAAGATGACAAGTACTTGCAAAGCCTCTTATAATCAGTTAAATATCTGTTAAGTATCAGCAAATATTATGTAAACAGTCTACTAATACGCAAATGAGAAGTAATTGCCATGTAGTTGCAGTGCAACTTTTAGTCAACAAAATGTGCAACAGAGACCAATATTACCAAATGATGAAATGATGACAACTGTGTAACTGTTAAAGAGTTTTGTGATTTTTTTGACAATTAACTAGAATAAACAAATTATGATTCGTTGGGTATGATCGACGTGTGCAACTACATCCAGTATTTCTTTTTTCTTTTCCAAAAAGGTTTAAAGCTACAAAATACTTCCAGATGTTTAGCATAAAACTGCAAGCTACTTACAGAGAACACTTGATTTTCTTAATTAATCTCTAATAATCTTGAGGCACACCACTGTGACATCTGATCTAACAACAACAAAACTGAAATTCGGCATAACTGATATTTATATCAGATAGTGGTGGAAACCAGCATTAAGTTAGCAAGAGTATATGTTCTATTAAACAAAAAAATAATGTATGCTGCAGTATGTTGGAAAACCATTGATTTCAAGGTAAGGTTTTCCTGTTATGGATATCAATGGACAGGTTTTCCAAATATTTTTCAACATATTTTTTAGTGTTCAACAACAACAAAAATACTCAAACTGGTTTGGAACAAATCAAGGGAAAGTAAATGACAGAGTTTTCATTTTTGTGTGAACTATCTATTTAATGGACAGAAAATTTGATGTTATACAATTTAAGTTGATTAACGTTGAATTACTAACACTACTGCTTCCTTTTTTCCTTCCTCATCTTTTATGACGTTTACAGTCAAAGTCAGAATTATTGAACCCCCTGAATTGTTAACCCCCATTTATTGTTTTCCCCAATTTCTGTTTAACGGAGAGCAGATTTTTTCGACACATTTCCAAACATCATAGTTGTAATAACTCATTTCTAATAACTGATTTATTTTATCTTTGCCATGATGACAGTACATAATATTTGACTGGATATTTTTCAAGACACTTCTATACAGCTTAAAGTGGCATTTAAACAAGGTTAATTAGGTTAACTAGGCAGGGTAAGATAATTAGGCATGTTATTGTACGAATGATGGTTTGTTCTCTAGATAATTAAACAAAAATATTGCTTAAAGGGGCTAATAATTTTAACCTTATAATGACTATTTAAAAAAAACTAAAACTGCTTTTATTCTAGCCAAAAGAAAACAAATAAGAATTTCTCCAGAAGAAAATATATTATCAGACATACTGTGAAAAAAATCCTTGCTCTGTTAAACATCATTTTGGAAATATTTAAAAAAGAAAAAAAATTAAAGGGGGTTTAATAATTCTGATTTCAACTGTACATCCACCACATATACTGTAGTAGTAGCCTGACCTTCTTTCTCTCATTTGCATACAGTATATGGTGTAAACACAAACTCACAAATTACAAAAGCATGTCATTCCCGAAACATCTGTCTAAAATACAAATCATTTTTTAGACAGTTTTATATTACAGTTTTGTGACATACTTGTTCATTGCTTTTCTTTTTGGCTGAGTCCTTTTGTTAATCTGGGGTCGCCACAGCAGAATGAACTGCCAACTTATCCAGCAAGTTTTTACACAGCGGATGCCCTTCCAGCTGCATCCCATCTCTGGGAAACACGCACATGCACTTATTCACACTCATACACTACGGACAATTTAGTCTACCCAATTCATCTGTACCACATGTCTTTGGACTGTGGGGGAAATCGGAGCACCCGCAGATAATCCATGCAAACGCAGGGAGAACATGCAAACTCCACACAGAAACACCAACTGACCCAGCCGAGGCTCGAACCAGCGACCTTGCTGTGAGGTGACAGCACTACCTACTGCGCCACTGCGTCGCTGTGACATACTTGTTCATTGTTTTAATGTTGGTGATTGCAAACAAACATTACATAGTGGTGAATCTAAATCTGACTCTCTTGTGTTTGTCTAGTGAATTGTCTGGCAGAGTTACATCAGAGACCCCATAAGACAGTCTATCTGGTCAATGACAGTGATAGTCTAGATATCACTCTCATAAACATGTCCAGATCTGCCCTGCTCAGCCAAAAGCCACTCACTATTATCAGGAGGATGAAGTATATGAAATTGTAGAAGGAGTGAGCATCCATAACAAAGTACATGATGTCCACCCAGCCCTCCAGAGTAATAACCTACAGGAAAGAACAAAAGCAGAGGGATTCAATGGAGCTTATGAGGTTTATAGAGTTTATGAATACATTATTTTAATACAACACTATTTTAGAAAACCGACATCCACCTCAGGCATGGAAAAAAAAAATAAGAAAAACATTGGTAGGAGCCTACTTTTGAAACACTCACAAGCCGACCAAAAGCAGAAGTAATGCCTGATTATATGCTCCTGTGATCAGTTTTTGGTTCTGTACTCAAGCATGCATGATTAGGTCGACAGTACAGATATCTTATGCTCAGGGGAGACACCCTACCCAGCATGCACTCTTCCTTCCCTTTGATTAATCTGTCACAGATTAGGGAGAAACAGGGTAATGCAAAACCGGAAAGTAAAGGCATTTCTCTTGCTATTTACAGGGCAATTGGGTGTGCTTGCAGGATGATGGGCTGTCAGACAGCTAATTCATTTTTAGATGCTAAAAATTAAGCGGCTAACGACAGAACTGGCCCATTGCAGCAGGAAGATTAAGTCACCGGGCCGTTCCACAGTTTAGTACATGACAGCCTCTTTAATGTTTAATAGATTTCTATTTTGGTGTGTTGTAAACATATGAAAAAAAAAATGTAAGTTTAATTTAATTTGAGATTAAAATCGGTCAGCTCGAACTCTCAGATGCAGCAGTAGAATTAAAACCTTATCATCCATTTGTGATTAAAGAACACAAAAAAATTAATAAAGGCAGCTGATCCCAGCAATTGTCTTCATGCCAGACTTTAAAAAGGCTAATCCAAAATCCCAGGGCAAATCAGCTTTGTTATTTAAACACATTGTTAGCATATCGCTGAACAGTAAGGAAAGTCAGGTAAGGACATTTGAGTTCATGATAGTAAAATCAGTCTCAGTTTGGATTTATTAGGATTAACTACTGTGAAACTGTATATTTGATAGATACAAAAAATTTAAAAACTTTGCTTTTTGTATAAGTAGTATGGAAATGTAAAATGTACACTATTGTGCAAAACATAACAGGAAGAAAAAACAATTATTTATTTTCATATGAAAGTGAAACGTTAATGGATGTAATGGAAAGTATGCAATTTGGCTTTAAAAATAGTACTTTTCAGAATATTTTTGTTTAGATTTTTTTGTTGAAAATATAAGTATTTTTAAAATCTATTGTTTTATTAAAGTTTCTCAGTTACTCAGTCGCTTTGACACATTTCTCGGATCAGAATTTAAATTCTCAAAACTACTTGTCCAGTCTTCACATCGTGTCACTTGTGCACATCAAAAAAGCACTTCGTCATTCCTTTGAACAAGTTGCAAATGCTTTTGTACATCCATGTAAATGAAAATGTACAATTCTCTGATGTTATCAATTGCTTATGTCATGTTGGTCAAAATGTATTATTTTGGTCTCTGTTTGGTCTCTGTAGTCTCACCCCGACAACACTGAATCATTTGTTTATTGCTGAAGTAATTCATTTATTCATGCATTCATTTTGTTTTCAGCTTAGTCCTTTTATAAATCAGGGGTCGCCACATCGGAATGAACCAACACCATATCCAGCATATGTTTTACGAAACAAATGCGCTTCCAGCTGCAACCCATCACCAGGAAACATCCATAGTACACTACGAATTATTCAGCTTATTCAATTCAACCAGAGCACCCGGAGGAAACCCAAGCGAACATGGGGAGAACATGCAAACTCCACACAGAAACTGACCCAGTCTGGGCTCAAACCAGCCTTCTTGCCGTGAGGTGATCTTGCTACCCACTGCGCCACCGCCATCATAGTGCATTTTTCTATACATTTCCATTAGACTTGTTTTCTAAACAAGGTCTACAATTGGTACATTTTTCCCAAGTGAATCCTGACTTTTTCTAATGAAGGTCCATCTCAGAGGATCTCCAATATTTACATTTCTATGAGGCGAGTAAAGAAACAGATCCTGGATGTTTCTTATTTTTTTGTTTAATTAACCTTATTTTAACATTCAACAGCTCTCAAACAGAGCACTTCTGTGAGGTAGCTTGAACAATCAAGTAATAAATAATGTAAATTCTTAACTTTTTAACTTTAGTGCAACAATAAATATAAAAATAAAAATCTAATATACAAACAAATAGCACCTCGACTTAAAATACCCAGCAGGCAATTCCAAGTTTACATATCTCACAGTTTGCTATGGCAATGTTGTCGTCATGAACTTAATAACTTCACCAGACCCCAGACATACTCGTGCTTTCCAGTTCAAGCTGCTTGCGTGTTCTACTTTGCCAGCATTTAACCAATTGCGGCTCTGCTACAGAGTGATGCCATGCGCATTGTTATTTCTGTGTGAAGTCAAGAAAGAGGTCTACTGTAACTCTGTGCCACAACATAACTATAGATGTGTTAAAAAATAATGAGAATATATAAATATATATTTGAGTCCTGATAGGAAAGTAACTTCCGATTCCGATCTAGTCAGAACTGCGTGATCGGGCCCGATTTCTAGTCGCGTGATCAGATCTGCATATCCCTAATCAGAACATCCCTCCACAGTACACTGCTATATTGACTACTTGTCTTATCCACACACAATGACACAAAGACTTGTCAATCTGTCTGCACTGACATGTTCATTGACACAAAAAATGTAGTTTTGAGAGGTAAACTAAAGATTTTAAGCAAAAAAAAAAAAGAGATTTGCAGCTAATCCATGGTGTTTTGCTATTTGTTCGCAGTTATTTTGAGAAACGGAATTACTGTTTTGCAATTTTCATTTCTCATCTGATAAATGTGCCAAAGCACCTGAGAAAAATTGTAATAAGAGTTAAAATACTAATAAAATGGTAAACACGTGGTTCATTTTTTTCAAAATAATGGCAAGTAGTGACTTGTTGTACCTTAATGTAAAAATAGTACTGATTTCCAATGCTATCATGGATTAACTTTATGTTAGATAATGGCAAAGTAATCTAAATTTAAAAATAGCAACTAAACAACTAGATTACAAGCAATACTTCAACAAGATATGCATTCTTACATCCTCATTAAACTGCAACTGTAGGTGTTTTATAGGTCTTCACATAAGTCTTCACAGCATCAGCAATAAAAACAAGACAAATCACAGACCTGAAAGATGGCAATCCAGGCATATCCAATGTTATCAAAGTTTATGGCCCCCTTGAAGGGATTGGCCTCTCCGGCGGAGCAGTTGGTGTAATACTTGTTCCAGTTGACGCAGGTGGTGTTGTCTGTGCTATTGTAAGATGCCATGTCCAGCTGGCACTGCCGGCCCTCCTCATGGAGCGTGGGGACGGAGGTGCACAGACGCATGCCGTTCTCCCTTGGTTGGGAGCAGATAAACGGGTTTTCATCGTCGTTTTCTGTGTGGTAGTACTTGCGAAGTTCTAGGCTGGTAGGTCTGTACAAAGGATAACAAGATGAAACAAATTTTATAAGTGGAATTTGTTCTTAGACCAAGAGTGATAAATTATTTCTTCAAATAATAGTTTTCTCAAAAACCGAAAGCGTAATAATTTTTTATGATTCTGCAAACCCACTGACCTTCCAGAACAAACGATATGAGAAAGTTTGAAATTTATATTCCCATCCAATTACAATAAAATGAGAGTGAGAGTACAAAAATGGACTTACAAAGTTTTACAATAGAGCACTAAGTATAATAAACATAGTCCATACTACTATTATGCAATATATAAGTGTATATGTGTCTTCAATGATAACTTATTAGGTAAATTATAAGTCGATATGTAATAAATAAGTCTATATGAGTCTTCATAATAACTTATGATTAAAAATAAATATTTTCAGGATGGATAGATTCTGTAAAGTAAACTTACAGCAGTAATGAATTCCATTAAGTTGCTAGTTCTGTTGTTATAACGTAGATTACTGAGCTGCCATTACATAGTATTATAGTTTGAATGAATATTCGCAAACAACATGGCAAACTTGAATGTCTCCTAAATTAGTTTAAATAATAGTTTCTTGTAAGAATGGCATATGGACTCAACAAATCTGTAATTTTCTGTAAACTGTTGTGTCTACTTGACTTCTTTAATAATGCCCAAAATAATCACCTGTAATAGTCAGTAAATGTGTAAGTTCACCCTAAAATGATAAGCTATTATTTATTTATTAACCCCTAAAGCCATCAGAAATTAATGTAGATCCTTTTTTTCTACTATAGACCATGACATATTTTAACTAAAATTGTGGTCTTTGAGTTACACAAATGCAGGTCAATGGCTACCAGCAGTTATACACGCAAAACAAAATTAATTCCCATGCCTCCTGATGATATATTAAGATCCTATAAAATGAAACTATTAGTTTGAACAACTAGCTTCAACACCATCCTGTACATTCCATTCCATTCAAGGCATCTGAAAGCTATGCATGGTGGTCATTTTGTATAAACTATGGAATTTCTAGTAAGAAATTAGACTTAATATTTACCTATTTATCACCACAGCACTCTGTTTCAGATCATTAAACCATTATACATGCCAAGAATTCTATCTGAAATGTGTGAGATGCCTTCATGTATAAACCCAGCCTCTAAATTGACTTTTTAGCTAAAAATCTTTTTTGATTTTCTTCTGATGAAAAGTCGGTAATATTTTGGATGTCCTGAGGGTGAGTAAGAGCATAATTTCAAGATTTCAGTATGCTCCCTACACATTGCTTTGAATATAGTGTTATATGTACAGACTAGTGTTGTCAAAAACCTCAATATTATTGATACTGAAATATTTCAAATGTTAGCGTCTTGCTTTTTCTTAGTATCTGTATCAATACTGGCTTTGCTCTCTCACACCAGCACTCTCTCTTTTCACCAGCAGGGAGATGAATAATTAGTAATAATAATAATAATAATAATAATAAGATTTTAACACTTTTGCATCTTTTGTAATCATAAAATAAGATGAGATTGCACAATATTATATATTTTTTATGTATTATTATTTTATTTTATTTTATTTTTTTGCCTTTTGGACTCATCAAAAATGGTATCGAATATCAATATTTTTCAAGGTATCTTACCAAAATTGGAAATTCTAATATTGTGTCACTAGTACAGAGCAATTTTAAGTTTTATTTATTTATTTATTTATTTATTTATTTATTTATTTATTTATTTATTTATTGTCATTTCGCAGCTTGACAGCTTTTGTACACATCTGAAAGTTTAGCAAATAGCCACGATACATGCATATAAACTCATCTTTTAAGTTCTCTGTAAACTAAAATCTATGCAATGCATAGGCACACAGTGTGGGCAACTGATGCAAATGAGTCTAAATCAAGTGTGGCTGAGCAATAACTCAACCAATGAAGACCTCAGTTTTCACCGCTCAGTTTCAGCTTCTCCTAGCATTGAGCAAACACCCATTTAAGCATCAGTCAGGCTGCAGCGAGATCAGCGGTAACTATCTCCACAAGAAAAGCCATTGAGCAAGGCCTAGCTCTAATGACGTTTGGCTCTGACACTGGATAATTGGGCCGTCTGTCAACACAAATTCACCTCAGAGAGAAAGTGCCATGGTGAATTAGCTACACAAGTACCGTCAATTACCCATTGGGACAAATCCTAGCCTTCCAAAGAACCCTGCCCCTTGAAATATTTATTTCTTAAGAGCAATTTAACAGTTTAAGACCGACTTAATGTTATATAATCACTGCTGCAAGCCAATCTCTGTGAGGCAGTGGAATTCCTTCAGCACGCTGTGTTAGCCAGGCCGTGAATCCATGGGGTCTCATTCCTGCTCTCAGTGCTATGATAGCTGTGGGCTTTACAGTGCTAGAAAGTAAACACAATGAATTGAATCACTGTTGACAATTAGTAAAGCAAAAACCCAGAAATTTGATTGGGATCTCATTACTTGATTTTTTTATGCGTTTAATTTCATACACATTCCAAATCAGATTTTGAAATAGTTCATATGAAATAGTGAATTTGCTTTTAAGTGCAAAAGTGAATAAATTAAGTATTTAAAGTCACAAACACAACCTAAAAACTCTGCAATTGTCATGCTCATCTTGTCAGAGAAGCGCAGAGTAGTAAATCAGTAGTTAATCTACACTGAACACCAGAGGGCGCTCTTGTGCAGAAACTCCAAATAATGTATTTTATGAAGAAGAAACCCAGGAAATCCCCATACGCTTATTTCACGTGGCCGCCATTTTAAAGAACCAAAGCAAGGCTGGGGTGGGAAGAAACCCGGAAGTACAGGACACTGTAAACACTGTAAACATTGCAGCAACATGCTGTGTACTACAAACCTCCAGCTGTTGCCGAGATTTCAAAATGCTGAAATGGTGTAAAAATCACTTTAATATCATTCAGTAAGTTTATTTTAAACAATTAAAAGCAATTTAGCATCAAACAACATCATGATCTTAATGATACGCTTAAGTGTCCTCCTAGGCTTTAGTTCATGGCACCAGTTAAACATCGTGGAGATGCTTTCCTGCTTCAGCCTATGTAAGTTAACCTGGTGAGTGATAAAACACTGCAGTCCTCTGTAGCACACCATCGTGTTGTCTGTAATAGTGTTGTTCCGATACTGAAGTTTTAAAACCGTCTATTCCCCGCTAACTTGGAGGCGCTGCTGAGCGTGGATAACTCAACTGATCTTTACGGCCGCTTCACTCTCTAGTCTCCGCCTATCTGTGTTTGGTTCGCACTAAGTTTACTGCTCTTCACCCAGTGCAAACACAGACACAAGGAGACTGAAGAGCGAAGCAGCTGTGAAGATCTGCCAAGTCATCAAGCAGATTGCTCGCCTGTGTTTGGGCTCGGCAAACAGCGAAGGGTGAACTGATGACATTCTCGGCCAATCACATTAATTTATGTTGAACACAATGGCAAATCAGCGCTGTTTTCAGAAAGTCATCAACAGTGCCTTAAATATTAGCAGAAAATTTATGTTTTTTCTTTAAATTCAAAAAAAGTGAAAGAATTAGTTAATTAACTTAAGTTTGATAAATGGCATCTAAAACGTGTGTTTGGGAAAAAAAAAAAAAAAAAAACGTTAGCTAGCTAGTGCCATTCCCCTTAGCTGAAAATGAGGTCTGATATCCCTTTTATTTTCACCATTCATTCAGAACGGACCTTCGGGTCACCCGGAAGGCGGTGAAATGATAAAGTTGTGTCACTTTCAGCTACACATCATTCCTATGTAACTCCCAATGATACTTTCGGGTTTCTTCCCACCGCAGCCTCAATTTCGCTTTTAAAAATGACGGCCACGTGAAATCAGTCTATAGCATCAGCATGAGAATTACAGAGGGGTAATTACGCTTGATCCCCCCTAAAGGACATCAAAACAAGATGTATAGGGGGTCAGCCTATCAATACTGAGAGATAGTTCGCTCTGATCTGTATTTTAAATAATATATTGATTCTAAATATTGTTAATAATTAAAATAAAAAATCATATAAATATACATTTTACCACCCCTATAATGTTTCATGCTATTGTGTATGCATAGTCACACCAGTCTATGCAAGAAAAAAAATCATTCAGAGGTCAGAAACTAGCAGCACCGATAGACATCGTAAGTGTTGCCTTAAGGTGTTTGTTTGTATCTACATAGGCTATAGTCTGAAAGTAACATCAAATTAGATGCATAGTTTGTATAGTTTGTTGTGCAATAACATTTGTAACAGCTAATCAGAAGATAATGTAGCTCAAAATACTGTAGATTTCCCTCAAAACATGTCATGCCGTTCATGTCATGGCTGGAGTTTACTGGGAAGCTATGCAAACAGCTGTGATTATAACAGAACAGTTATCTTGACCTCATTTTTACATACTAAATAGATATAGATTTTGTGAACCATACCAGTGTATTACAGCTTTGAGTAGTACATGCTGATCCATATGAAAGCATGTGAGGCTTACTAGAAACAGCTCATGAAATCATCTTTAATTGATTGACAAGTTCTAATTTAAAGTAATCTAACACTATACACCAGCTATAACATTTACATTTACTATTTGCTTTGGCAACAAGCTGAAATAGTAACCATTTTTAAACAAGTTAGTAAAAAAAGGTAGGCCGTTTTTTTAAAATATGTATTTAAAAGTACCACATTTTTTGTGGGATTGTTTTTTTTTATTGATGTAAGTTAACTAGAACAACCATTTTTCAGTGAGTATTATTGATTAAGTTATTGCTGCACAATCACTGACCCTTTTAGAACCAAAGGAGGGTTATCAAACTTAAATTCAAATAAATGTGACTAAAATGTTGACTAGTGTAAAAGATTTTAAAGATTTTCAAAAAACCAGCTACTCTGTTGTTGATGCATGGTAACAGAAAGGATTTTAACATTTGCCTAAAATTGTAAATTTAATATATAAACAAATTAAAAAGCAAACCATTTATTAAAAGTTCATTTGCAAAATTTGCATATGCTTTTAAGTTTTTTTCCAACTAATTTCTAAAAATAATAGTTTTAATAACTCATTTCTAATAACTGATTTATTTTATCCTTGCCATGATGACAGTAAATAATATTCTACTGGATATTTTTCAAGACACTTCTATACAGATTAAAGTGACATTTGAAGGCTTAACTAGGTTAACTAGGTTAACTAGGCAGGTTATGGTAACTAGGCAAGCTATTGTATGATGATGGTTTGTTCTGTAGACTCGAAGAAAAAAAATCTAGCTTAAAGGGGGTAATAATTTTGACCTTAAAATGGTTTCAATAAAATAAAATCTTCTTTTATTCTAGCCGAAATAAAACAAATAAAAATTTTTCCAGAAGAAAAAATATTATTTGACATACTGTGAAAAATGGCTTGCTCTGTTAAACATCATTTGGGGAATATTTAAAAAAGAAAAAAAATTCAAAGGGGCAAATAATATTCTGACTTTAACTGTATATCAACAAAATAGCAAATAACAAAGCTATCTGTAGTCCTGTGCTTCAAAAAAAAAAAAAAAAATTCAGGAAAGTTGACAAAAGAGGGGCCAGTATAAATTAAAATGTGGTTCTCTCTCCTACTTATGATACAATCCACCAAAATATATCCTGACACCAGCTGTAAACAGTACATGTGATACAAAATCCCAAGCCATCACACTCACAGGGAGAAGTTTTCAGGTAAGAAGCAGCGGTTGCGGAGAAGCCCGGCCCACAGCTGAACTCCAACGATCCCAAAGATGAAGAAAACAAAGAAGCAAAGCAGCAGCACATTGCCCAGCATGGGGAGAGTGTCAAGTAGAAGCGTCACCAGGATTCTCATACCTGCAACACAATGAAAGAGCAGCTGAAGCATCATTTTACCCTTCACACACACAATAATAACACTGTAGTTATAATAAAAAGATACTGCCTCAAGCATATTGTTCTCGTAAAACACATTAAGTTATAGCACTATAATATACCGAACAAACTCAAGTTTATGGAGGCTCACTGTAAAACCTAAAGAATGAATGTTTATATGCGCCAGTAAAAAAAAATAAAAATCTTTGCTGATACCCAGGTTTTTCAGACACGGTTGCAGTGGCTTTTCCAATATATCTGCCCTCTGTCAAAGCACAATGCCAGCTGACTGGAGCATAAATGATGAAAATCATTTCCTGTTCAGGTTTTGGCGGGTAATTGGTGGAGCAGGGTAATCCAGCCGGTGCTCCCTGGCAGTCAGTGGGTGATAACTAACTGTGGCTGACTGTAATTTCCACATTTGGAGGAAGAGTGAGCAGCGATAAGCACTGAGGCATTAAGAGCAATGAATGACAATAGAGGGCCCGTGTCATCACATACAATGGCCCTCCGCTGTGTGGCTTTACAGTGCACGGTATAGTGCAGATTCTGCATTTCTTAAAGCCGACGTCTTCAAGAAGGGTTTCACCTCTCAAATTCAGGTTTCTCTAATGAAACGCTCTGATGGAAACACAGAATATTTTATGTCTTGCTAATTACAGTAGGAAACGCGCTGTCATTTTGTGAGCGCTTATCAGCGTATATTTATGTACTTGTAATTAGCGAATGGTGAGTTGAAACAAACAATCGAGGTCTCAGACATCAGAAATTCAGACTGTTTCCTCCAATTACGACGTGTTTCTTGTGGATAATCCAGTGCTTGGAGATTTGTGCACAGAAAATCACTTCCTAACTTCGGTCATTAGTGAGTCCAAATGCGCGTGGAGTTCACCCTAGCACAGCATCTCAGCTAAGCTTGCCAAGTCAGGGCTTAACAAGCATTGAATCAGTGACAGCGGCACAGATCCGTGTCCTTTACAAACTGAGAGGTAATTCCCCACAGGGATGTGTATTTCCTGGAGAAAAATCACCTTCAGGAATGTTGGTCCCTTAAGGCCTGACAAAATGAACGCAGGGTCATGCGAGTTTCCTCACAATTTGATAATGGACTGTCTGAGTTTGTGCTAACTTGAAGTTTGTTGAAGTCTGCGTGAACCGGAAGTTTCTACCAACTTTACTTTCAAGTTGTGAATTTTTATTTCAACATTCTTTTCTTCATTGCTTATTTGCAGCGCTTCTGTGATTTGAGAAGTGTAGTAAAGTATAATCTGCCAAAGCTGTTAAACTTTTCTGTGGATCATCTTGCCAAGACTAATTAATTGTCCACTTCAAGTATATAAATGTCCACTAACAAAGTAATTAGTGTCAATCTTGATTTCATAAGGACTTTAATGTTGCTCATGAACTTTTTTTGTGACTTTGTAGAATGTCACCAAAATATGTTTATACACTACACAAAACATCAGTCAAGATGCTCATGGCACTGCTCAGCTGATTGGCTAAGCGGCCAAAAAAATGAAATATATTAAACTGTGTGTATATTGTAATGAGATCTTGCACCAGCAGTGCAAATCAACGTTAAAATGAATTGTAAATCTAACAGGTACGCATTATTCTCGATTTATTTTTGGCATGTTTGCCTATACTGTATGATAGGACAGTGAGGAAAGGTACAGGAGATGCTGTTGGTGCAGTTGCTCTATACTGTGTGTCAGGGTACTGACCCCTAAGGCAACTATGTTCCTGGAGGACACAAGACTGCATGTTTTGGATATCTCCTTTAATTACAGGTTTTTTAGTCTCTACTTATGAGCTAATAATCTGAATCATTTGTGTTTGGTTAAGGAGACGTGGAGAATGTGCTGAGTTGGTCGTTGGTGGTAACATTTTTGGCTCCATACGCCGACAGAATGGATTTGAAATTAAATGAACTGCAGACTGTCAGCTTTAATTTTAGGGTATTTACATCTAAATGAAGTGAACGCTGTAGGAATTACAACAGTTTATATATGTTCCTCCCACTTGTTAAGTGTCCAAAAGTAATTGTACAATTGTCTTCTCAGCTGTTTCACACCCAGGTGTGTATTACTTCCTCATTACCTCAATTACAATTAGCAGATAAAAGATCCAAAGTTCACTTTAAGTGTGCTATTTGCATTTGGAATCTTTCAACTGTCAAGATGAGTTCCAAAGAGCTGTCACTATTAGTCAAGCAAGCCATCATTAGGCTAAAAAAAACAAAACCAGAGACAGCAAAAACATCAAGCACAGGCAAAACAACTGTTTGGAATATTACTAAAAAGAAAGAACGCATGCACCAGTGAGCTCAGCAACACCAAAAGACCCGGAAGACTACTGAAACAATTGAGGTGGATGACCAAAGAATTCTATCCCTGGAGAAGAAAAAATCATTTACATAAGTCGGCCAAATCAAGAACACTCTCCAGGAGGTAGGCATATGTGCGTCAGAGTCAACAATCAA